CAAATTCTATCTATAGATATCCAAAAAGTCTGCTGTATGAGTGATTGGTATTACTAATAGAATTATTAATAGTGGTATTTATTTAGTGCCAGCTATGTAGGTAGTACCAGTGCCAAATACTGGAGCTTAAAAAAAAAAAGATAGAACTGCCCTGGAGAAGCACAATTTTTCCATCAAGTTTATGGAGATAAGGGTTTGTATATCCCTAGGCTGGCTTGTTTACAAAATAGCTGTGACAAAAACAAACAAAACAACCCAACCCACACGTGCACTCTACGTCAGCTCTGGGGTGCGTCCAGGGAAGACAGCAAAACTCCTTTCTATTGACGTTTCAGAGAGTGACATCAAGACCACCTACAAAGGACCGACCAACGGGCTTCGGTGGGGAGGACCCAACGGGGACTGTTCAGAGCATGACAGCACCTGGCTCTTCCTCCTCCCCACCAAAGTTGGGGGGCCGCCTTCTGCCCGCCAAAGATCCCCAGCTTGACATGTCCTCTCTTTTGCCTTTTTTTTTTTTTTTTTTTAAAGAAAACTCCCTTTTGCATAAGTCCACATTTCTGAGCCGTGAGCTCAGAATCACAAGAGCTGGGACTGCGACTCCGGGATTTCACTTTGCCCTTTCTGTGCGTCCGTTACCCTCTTTTAAAACTAGAGCAATCGTTCAGCTTTGGGGCCGGAACGTGCCCGGCCAGTCAGACCTGAAGCCCAGTCTGGCATCTATCAGAAGCCTGGTCAATTCTGTACGCCCTGTCGTAGGCTGCGACCCGCGCTCCCGGGGGCGGGCGCCCCGTCCTCTCCCTCCAAGGTGTGTGGAAGCGACGTCCCCTCCCTCTCGCCCTAGGGAGATCCTGGAACTACAGGCTCGGACTCTGACCCTGGAGGGGACACAGGTGAGCCAACAGACCGGCCGTTCCGAGGTGGGCTCTCGGGAAGGGATGGAGAAGCTGGCCAAGCGGGAGTCCACTCCCCGAGGCCAGGACCGCGGGTGCTCAGGACCGGGGCCTGGGAGGAGAAAGCCCGTACACCCCTCGGAATCCGTCCTACACATCCGCGGTCCACACCCCGCCCCCAAATCGAGCCCGGGCCGCCCCCTGGCCATCCTCCGCCAAACCGCTGCTTACCGCTGCGCTCATCCCGGGGCCGAACTGGCCATCGACGCCCGCCTGGAACCCAGCGTAAGCAAAGGAAGAGATAACGGCTTCACTTCCGGAAGTAATCTAGGCCTGACTGCGGAGGAGAGTGCCCCCGGCCCGCGACCATAGAGGAGAGGCTGCACTCGTTCCCTAACCCCCCTCGACCCCGCGCCCTCCCCGCTGCCTAGAGCGGCCACTCTTGGGCCGGGGAGGTCCGCGCAGGCGTACTACCGCCGGTCCCGCCCCTTACTCGTGGAGGCACGGACCTTGAGCCAGGGCTTTACACCGAGAAGGTGAGGCTGTTGTGTGTATTTGATCCTCCAGAGTGGCTGTTATTGTATCTGCAGGAAACAGCTTTGCCCGGAAATTAAAATTATATTACAAGACCGTACTGTACTCGCCATAATTTTTTTTTGCCTTTACATTTTATGCAGAAAATCAGAGAATCATGGCTAGATTTCCATTTGCAATATTAAGAAGAATCGGAATTAACATGACTTTCTTATCACCACTTTTTTTTTTTTTTTTTCCCAGCGTCTTGGTTCGTTAAGAATTCATGAGGATTACCTGTTTTAAATCACTGGCCTGGAGATCGTTAAATCGATAATTTGGGATGATTTTTTTTTCCTAGCAATCAAATGGGCAAAGAGTAAAAAGATTGGTAATGTTCTGTGCTAGTGCCAGAAGTGTATGACTCATTTTCTGGAGGATAGTCTAGATAGGTATCAGCATATTTTTAAAAAATTGCCATGAAAGATACGTAACAAAATTTACCATTTTAACCATTTTCAAGTGTGCAGTTCAGTGGCACTAACTGTATCCACATTGTTGTGCAGTCATCACCACCATCCAGGACTTTATCATCTTCCCGAACTGAAAGTCCATACCCATTCAACAGTTACCAATAGTTCCTTTCCCAGCCTCTGGTAACCACCATTATACTTTCTGTTCAAGAATTTGACTACTCGGGGCTTCCCTGGTGGCGCAGTGGTTGAGAGTCCGCCTGCCAATGCAGGGGCCACGGGTTCGTGCCCCGGTCCGCGAAGATCCCACATGCCGTGGAGCGGCTGGGCCCGTGAGCCATGGCCGCTGAGCCTGCGCGTCCGGAGCCTGTGCTTCGCAACGGGAGAGGCCACAACAGTGAGAGGCCCGTGTGCCGCAGAAAAAAAAAAAAAAAGAAGAATTTGACTACTCTAGGTACCACATATAAGTGGAATCATACAGTGTTTGTCTTGTGACTGGCTTATTTCACTTAGCAAATGTCCTCCAGGTTCATCTACTTTGTACCATGTCTCAGAATTTCCCTCTATTTAAAGGCAGAATAAAATTCCATTGTAGGTATACGTGACATTTTGTTTATCCATTCATCTGATAGATGCTTGGGTTGTTTCCACTTTTTGGCTATTGTGAATTATGGTGCTATGAACATGGGTGTACAAATACCTATTCAAACCTCTCCTTTCAATTATTTTGGGTGTATGCCCAGAAGTGGAATTGCTGCATTATATGATAATACTATTTTTAATTTTTTAAAGAAGGACCATACTGTTTTCCATAGTGACTGTACCATTTTACATTCCCACTAGCAGTGCACAAAGTTCCAGTTTCTTACCTAATAGGTGTGAAATGATATCTCATTGTGGTTTTGATTTGCATTTGTGATGTTGAGCGTCTTTTCATGAGCTTGTTGGCCATTTATATCTTCTTTGGAGAAATGTTTAAGTCCTTTTTAAATTGGATTGTTTGTTTTTGTGTTTTTGAGTGGTAAGAGTTCTTTATATATTATGGATATTTACGCTTTATCAGATACATGATTTGCAAGTTTTTTTTCCCATTCTGTGGGTTGCCTCTTCACCTTGCTGATAGTGTCCTTTGATGCACAGAAGTTTTTAATTTTGATGTAATTCATTCATTGCTTTTTCTTTTGTTGCCTATGCTTTTGGTGTCATAGCAAAAAATCATTGCCTAATCCAACATCATGAAGCTTTTTTGCCCTATGTTTTCTTCTAAAACCCTTATAGTTTTGGCTCTTACATTTAGATGTTTGATTTATTTTGAATTAATTTTTATACCGTGTTAGGTAAGGTTCTAACTTCATTCTTTTGCATGTGGATATTCAGTTTTCTTAACACCATTTGTTGAAAAGAGTATCCTTCCCTCACTGAATGGTCTTGGCATCCTTGTTGCAAATCATTTGACCATATATTCAAGGGATTATTTGGGGGCTCTCTATTTCATTAGTCTCTATGTCTTTATGTCAGTACCACACTGTTTTGATTACTGTAGCTTTGCAGTAAGTTGATATTTATTGAACTTAAATTACTCAAAATTTAAATTTAAGTGGCCATATGTGACCAGTACTTTCCATCTAGGACTTTTAAAGCTGATACTAGAAGGCAGAGAGATATTTCAAGTTTGAAGTTTGACTACTTGTCATATTGGTTTTCACATTTACTCTCTGCTGCTCACACTAGGAATAGTGGGCCTAATTAACTATATATAAATTTCCTTTCAATGAGTAGAGGAAAATGGACTTGTGGCACCTGGTGGGGAAAATATGGTCACACTCTTACTTGTTCTTTAGGGTTCTTAATATTTTCTTTTGGGAGAAAATGGTTATCTTCTTTTCAAAAAGCACAAGTGGTTCATACTCAGTATTTCTCTCAAACCTAAGGTGTGAATGCAGGGAAATGTGACAGCAGGTCAGAACGCTGATCATATCTTACATTTATTTTTACAGTGCTTTACAATTCACATACATTATCACCACTGATCCTCAACCCTATTTAGTGGATGAGAAAATCGAGGTTTAGGAAGATTAAATAATTCCAGACCTAATAAATGGCAGAGCTAGCCTTTGAAAGCAGATATTCTAACCAACTTTCATAGTAGGCTTTTGTGAAAGACCAAGGTGAATTCATTCACTCAACCCACGTTTATCGAGCATCTCGACGTGTCAGCAGTGTCGTAGGCTCTGGGAATCAACTGCAAACCACAAACCAACGTAAAACTCCATCAGGCAAGACCTAATCTGTTTTGCCCACTGTAGTACTCCCAGTAGCTAGTGCAGTAGATAAAGGTCTCAGGTTTGCGCTCCCCGTCACCTCTGTAAGTAACCCTCTTTTCCATTATTCTTATTGCAGCACCCTGCTCTTTCTCTTCACAGTGAACTTTGGGTTTCCAAGTGGCAAGTTCGATTCCTGCCTGACTTTCCCCTCTTCCCTCAAGTTAAGCTCCAGTGGGAGCTTGTCTTTTTTATTCCTCACTGTATCCCCACTCCTTTCAGGGTGCCTGGCACATAACTGGAACTCAAGAAATATATATTCATCAACTGGATGGATGTCATGTCACGCAAACTTCTGAAGTAAATGGCCCGGGCTTCCCTGGTGGTGTAGTGGTTAAGAATCCGCCTGCCAATGCAGGGGACACGGGTTCGAGCTCTGATCTGGGAAGATCCCACACGCCAAGAAGCAACTACGCCTGTGCGTCACAACTACTGAGCCTGTGCTCTAGAGCCCATGAGCCACAACTACTGAGCCCATGTGCCACAACGACTGAAGCCCACGTGCCTAGAGCCCGTGCTCCGCAACAAGAGAAGCCACCGCAATGAGAAGCTCGCACACCACAACAAAGAGTAGCCCCCGCTCCCGCAACTGGAAAAAGCCGGCATGCAGCAACGAAAACCTAATGCAGCCAAAAATAAATAAATAAAGTAAATTGTCCAAGTCTGGTCCTCACCAGTTAGACCACGCCTTGAAGGACTTTGATAGCCACGCCCCTCCTGTGTCCCGGGAAAGGAACCCAGCCTTGGCCCCGCCCCTGCCATGACGCAGGTACACGTGACGGCGCGCCGGCGCGCGCTGTTTCCGGAAGTCACCCCCGCGGTCTTCGCCGCTGCTGCCTGCGGTGCTGGCGGTGGAGCTTCGCGAGTGGAACGGCAGAGGCGGGCCGGACGGGGCCGCGGGCCTGGCCACTCTGCAAAATGGAGATAATCAGGAGCAGTGCGTGTCCGCCGTGCACCTCCCCGCGTACCCGCGGCCCCCTTCACCCGGCCTACTAGGCCCGGAACACGGCCGGTCTGCTTGGCGGGGCCTGGGGCAGAGGCAGCCCCTCAGGGGTTTGCTCCCCTTTTGCGCCTCTTGGGGGCCCTTATTCCTCTCTGGCCCATACACCCTTCGGGGCCTTGTCGTCTTTCTTACCCGGGCACCCCCAGGGCCTTATCCCTCTCAGGCTCGTGCCCCCGCGGGGCTTATTTTCCGCCCCTGTCTGTGCACCCCTCAGGGACCTGTCCTTCCGCCCTAGGAGACGTAGGAGTTCCCCGGGCCCTCCTTCCTTCCCAACCTAGTAGCCCGTGGGCAAGCAGCTAGGCCACCGGTTCTGAGCCTCTTCTCGGTTTCTCCGCAGATTTTAAGAGTAATCTCCACAAAGTGTACCAAGCCATAGAGGAGGCGGACTTCTTCGCCATCGATGGGGAGTTTTCAGGTATCCCTCGCTTGCAAGCTTGAGGCTGGCACCTTGCAGTGCATAGCCAAAACTCCTGCACCCCTACCCCCTGCTCCCTTGCCCCGGACTTCTGCCTGCTGGCCGCTTCTCCCTGTTTGTAGACTTGGGCAAGTTGCATGGGTCTCCACGTTTTCTCTTAAACGTTTCAAAAGCACGGAAGAGGTGAGGTGCGGTGGGTTTTGTGATTGGGTTTGTGGTTGTTGGACCTCTCAGGGTTGCAGATAGAGATTAAGGTTTTGGTGCTGCTTAAAAACTCGGATGTGTGTGAGACAGCTTGGGAGTTCGGGTCAGGCTTTTTTGTATGTGTGGTGAAATACACATAACATAAAATTGATCGTTTTAAAGTTCAGTGGCATTGAATACATTCACATTGTTGTGTATCCATCTCCAACCATCCATCTCCAGAACTTTTTCATCTTCAGAACTGAAACACTCTACCCATTGAACAATAATTCCCAACTCCTCTCTCCCCTCTGCCTCTGGCAACCACTGTTTCTGTCTCTGAATTTGACTACCTTAGACATTTCCTATAAGGGGAATCATACAATATTTGTCCTTTGTGACCGACTTTAGGGTCGGACTTTTGCAGATAAATGAGGTATTCCTTTAGGCATTAGTGGAAGTGTTCATTGCCTGCCTTGGCATGGGTGTGCATGTGTGTCTAATACTTTACTAACAGTTATAACTGCAAGATTTTTTCTTTTTTTCCTTTTGGATCAAAGATATCCACTTTTGGTGTAGATAACACTTTTGCTACAAGCTTAACATGTTTGTAAGACTTCAGCTCTTTCTAAAGGACTCCTTGCTGGGGGTAATCTTTGGCTTTAATTAAGTGTGCAGTTTCTAGTTGGAGTCAGTTCCCTGGAAAGCTAAGAGTTTTCACCGCAAATGTCTCTTGACCTTGAGTATACCTTTGTTGTGTAGATGTTACTCCAAACTGTTGACCAAGACTGTACTCTAACAATAATGCGCATCAGTATTTGTTGATGTCTGAGTATGCATTAATCTTTGAAAGCAGCAAAACTTATTCAGTCGTAGAGATTGTTTCCTGAAATCATGACTGTTTTGAAACCTAATTTTTTTTTTTACTGAATTATAATCGACCAATTATATCAGTTTCAGGTGTACAACATAGTGATTTGATATTTTTATACACTATGAAATCACCATGCTAAGTCTAGTTACCATCTGTTAGCTACAAAGTTATTGTTGGCTATATTCCGTATGCTGTGACATTTATTTTATAAATGAAACTTTGTATCTCTTAAACCCCTTCACCTATTTGGCCTTTCCACCCACCCCCTCCCCTCTGGCAACCATTAGTTTACTCCCTGTATCAATGTCTTTGTTTGTTTGTTTTGTTTTTTGGATTTCACTAATAAGTGAAATCATATGGTATTTGTCTTTCTCTTTCTGACTTATTTCACTTAGCATAATACCTTCTAGGTCTATCCATGTTGCAGATGGCAAGGTTTTATGGCTGAGTAATATTTCTATATATGTATGTGTATATGTATGTATGTATGTATGTATGTGTGTGTATATATATATATATGTGTGTGTATATATGGCATCTTCATTATCCATTCATCTATCTTTGGACAATTAGGTTGCTTCTATGTCTTTTCTATTGTAAATAATGATGTAAATAATGATGTAGTGACATAGGGATGCATATATCTTTTCGAATTAGAATTATTGAAGAAAAAATAATTTTTGTTTTCGTATAGATATCCAGAAGTGGAATTGTTGGCTCATATGTTAGTTCTATTTTTAGTATTTTGAGGAAGCTTTATACTGTTTTCCATAGTGGCTGCACCAGTTGACCTTCCCACCAACAGTACATGACGGTTCCCTTTTCTCCACATCCTTGCCAACACTTGTTATTTCTTGTGTTTTTGAGAATAACCATTCTGACAGGTGTGAGGTGGCATCTCAAGATTGCTTTGGCTGTTCGGGGTATTTTGTGGTTCCATACAAATTTTAGGATTATTTGTTCTAGTTCTGTGACAAATGCCATGGGTATTTTGATAGAGATTGCTTTGAATCTGTAGATTGCTTTGGGTAATATGGACATTTTTACAGTATTAATTCTTCGGATTCGTGAGCACAGTCTTTCCATTTATTCCCATCGTCTTCAATTTCTTGCACCAATGTCTTATAGTTCTCAGAGTACAGGTGTTTCACCTTCTTGGTTAAATTTATTCCTAGGTATTTTATTCTTTTTGATGCAATTGTAAATGGGATTGTTTTCTTAATTTCTGTTTTTCATAGTTTGTTATTAGTGTATAGAAATTTACAACAGATTTCTGTATATTAATTTTGTATCCTGCAACTTTACTGACTTCCTTTATTAGTTCTAATAGTTTTTTGGTGAGGTCTCTATAGTGTTTTCTATATTTGAAATCTGTTTTAGACACTGAAACTGCCCATTCTCAAATTGAAACAGTCACATCTCTAAATTCATTACTATAGAGTTTAGCTTGGTAGCCAGTGAAATTAATGCTAATTTTGAGAAAGTGAAGAAAGGAGCACTTCCAATTAATTTTAATTCATGAAAATATGAAATTATAGCGCCATTGAATAGTTGACTGACATTTTTCCATTAGCATTTATTAACAAGTTAAAAACTTTTATTTCTTAAAATCTAGGAATCAGCGATGGACCCTCGGTCACCGCATTAACAAATGGTTTTGACACTCCGGAAGAAAGGTATCAGAAGCTTAAAAAGGTACGTGGATGTGCTAGAAAAAAATTTTTTTCCCCATGTTGGTCCTGCATATGTTGAATTATAGAGGAATATAATCGTTAAACTTGTTCATTAATGTCTCAACCCCAGCTATAAAATGATATTTTAGTGGTATTTAAAACAATAGCAAAAATAATTGTTTGCTGGAAAACATTTTGGGGAAGGTTTAGTATTTTCAGTGTTAATTTGATTTACAGGAAATGTGATGTGGTTATTTTAATCATTTGGAAATAGGTTTACCATGACACTCTGGATGGTGGATAGGTGCCTAAGTTGGGAAAAATATTAAGAAATGTATATAAATTAATAATGCATCTGATACCTACTAGAGAATGGACTTGAGGATATGGGGAGGGGGAAGGATAATCTGTGACAAAGTGAGAGAGTGGCATGGACATATACACACTACCAAACATAAAATAGATAGCTAGTGGGAAGCAGCCACATAGCACCAGGAGATCAGCTGGGTGCTTTGTGACCACCTAGAGGAGTGGGATAGGGAGGGTGGGAGGGAGGGAGACGCAAGAGGGTAGAGATATGGGAACATATGTATATGTGTAACTGATTCACTTTGTTATAAAGCAGAAACTAACACACCATTGTAAAGCAATTATACTCCAATAAAGATGTTAAAAAAAATAATGCGTCTGATAGATAATCTGTAATCTGTTCTAATTGGAAGTATTCTGCCAAAGTTAAGTAATCAGAAAACCCACCTGATTGAGAATACTGTTGCTGACGTCGACTGTAGAGCACTGTTTTGACAGATATTTTATTTCCCTTTTCCAGCATTCCATGGACTTTTTGCTGTTTCAGTTTGGCCTTTGCACTTTTAAGTATGACTACACAGATTCAAAGTAGGTTGTTTGAATAAGTGGTGGGAATTCTTTTGTCATGGCATAATGTAACGCCCTAAGTCTCCTTTTATCTTATTTTCCCCAGGTATATAACGAAGTCTTTTAACTTCTATGTTTTCCCGAAGCCCTTCAATAGATCTTCACCAGATGTCAAATTTGTTTGTCAGGTTCGTAGTGTAATTGAGTTGGTTTTCTGTTATGAATTGCTGATGAGCAGTGTGGAAATGTGGAATCAGAATTCTCTCTAAAATTTGGTTCTACTACTAACTTGGCACTTTGGGCAAATCATTTCACCTCTCTGACTTTCAGTTTTAGGGTTGTAAATTAATGACACTCCCATCTTCCCTTTTACTTGAGAGTGAGTTAAGGAATGAGATGTAAGTGACAGGCAGATGGAAATGAGAACGTGAGCTTTATCATTAGTAAAGCTGAATCTGAGACCATGGCTTCGTAGTGTGACTCTTTTGGGGATTTTTAATGTCTTACCCCTGAATTGAACCTACAGATCAGGACCTTCAGGCTTCTTCCCACCCCATTCTCATTGCACCCATCTCCAAGGGTAGAGCTTTATTTTCTGGAAGTGGCGGGTATGTGTGTATCCTCTTTGAAAAGAGAAAGCCCAAAAGGGGCTAAGCTATATATGTTCAGTTTCTTTTCCCAAGCTCACCAATTAGGAAAGAGAGGGTAGATAAAGACCACTGTTTCCTCCTGAGGAGGAGAGGGCTGACTTTATGAGCCAAGGTAAGGATACAAGGAGGTTCCCCTTTAGAACACCCTGTTTGGAGTTGTAGCTGATCTAGTAGACACTCAGTGAATATCAGTTTCCCCTTTCTGCTCTCTCTCTCTTTTTTTTTTTTTTCCTTTCTGCTCTCTTAATAATCTGATACAATGGATAAGGTGAATGTGAATAAGTGTATAGCGAATGGATATGTGATGAAAGCTGAATGTTGGCCTTTTCTCCCTTATGATCTTATGCTTGAGCTTCTCTCCCCGTAGCAACATTAGTTCCTTTGAGTCTTCCCATCTTTCCCTTTTCCTGCATGTAAGTAGTAATGCAGTTAAGAAAGCCTGGAGGGTAGGCTTCTGAGTGACTGAGTCATGTCAGGTTCTTTCTGTAATAAGGCAGGATATAAACAAATGAAATTGAGCATTAATTGTATATCTAGGGCTGAAGAGAAGGTAATTTTGGTTTTGTAAACCTGAATTTTTCTTAAATTAGCAAATAAACCATAGTTGATATTTCTTTACCCTGCAACCAGTTAACAGCTATTTACCAGTCACCTTAGTATAGGATACTTAATTAAACAGTATTTGTAGATTTTCACTGAGAGAAAAATAGGCTCAGTTGGGAAATTTGTGTGGATGTAGTTTTCCAACAGTACCAGGAAAAGACAATTATTTAAAGTGGATTCCATGGCTTTAGCCAGGGGTTAATCAAACAAATGCAGACAGTGGCAATGAGACACCTTGGGGATGATGCTTTGTTCTAAAAGACCAACACAAACACAGTTATTCTAGGAAATGAATTGGAAACAGATCAAAAGAACCCTACCCATTGTACAAAGCCATTCTGGGGCTACACCTGGAACACTTTAGGGAGTTATAGTAGCCAGCCACTCCTTAAAACAAAGAAAGACATCACAGACTTGAAGACAGGCCAGAGACTAATGTCTAAAATGGACAATGGGATAAAAATGGTGCAATTCTCGGGTTTCCCTGGTGGCGCAGTGGTTGAGAGTCCGCCTGCCGATGCAGGGGATGCGGGTTCGTGCCCCGGTCCGGGAAGATCCCACATGCCGCGGAGTGGCTGGGCCCGTGAGCCAAGGCCGCTGAGCCTGCGCATCCGGAGCCTGTGCTCCGCAATGGGAGAGGCCACAACAGTGACAGGCCCGTGTAGCGCAAAAAAAAAAAAAAAAAAAGGTGCAGTTCTCTGTTCTGGAAAAGCAAAGGCAGGGAAGAGGTTTAGACTCAGTAAGTAAACTTGTGAATTGTATGGATATGGTAAATGATAGTGTCTTTGAATTTTTTTCTTTTGTCCTCCATCTAAGGTGGATTTTGCTTTAAAATTCTATGGTGACAGCAGGGTTGCATCTTACAAGGAACTTATTAGCTTCTGGAGTCAGCGAGTAGGGTGAAAATTGTGTCTGGTCAAAAATCAATCTTGAAAAGCTCTTATTACCCTTAAAGCAGGGAGAATTTGGGGGCAAAATAACTTAATATGCTCTTTGAAAAATAAGCATCTGTATACATAGTGAGCTGCTCACACTGGGCGGGATATGGGGGAGCAGCCTGAGAGCCAGGCACACTCCTGGAGCACGTGCCCGTCCAGTGGGGCGACAGAAGAACTGCATGGTATTGGCATTGTCTTCACCTCCTCTTTTTCTTCTCTTGTCCTTCCTTTTTCTGACCGAACATCTGTAGTTGAATTCATGGAAGAAAATACATACGTGGTCGTGAAAAATCGAGACCCTGCTGCTGTCTGTAGAGTAAAGAACGAGTTTCTTTTTTTTATCCCATCTTCCCCATGCCACTTCCTTCCCCATTTCACTCCTTTTATGTCCATATGTACATATACTCTTATGTCTACATATATATACATAATTTTAGCTTTTTTCTTTAATATACACAGGATCATAATATTCATATTTTATATAACTTGCATTTTCTACTTAACACACTGTCTTCATATTTCATAGTATGGATATGTTATAATTTATTTAACTGGAGTTTAGAAGTTTTCCAGTGGTTACCTATTTTAAACAATGCTATAGTCAGCATCTGTGTGCAGCATGTCTTGGTTATATGTAGGAATGTTTTTATAGGATAGATTTCCTAGAAGGGGAATTGCTGACTCATAGAGCTTATATATTTAACATTTTGATAGATGCGTCAAATTGTCCTCCCAAGTAGCCATGCTCATCTTTTGAATCCTGAAAATGGTACATTTAGGACAAACCAAAGATAGTGGTTAGTAAACCGCAAATAGATTTTGCTGGTTCAAAGTGTTTTACCTTTCTTTTCTTTTCTTTTTATACAGCAGGTTCTTATTAGTTATCTGTTTTATACAAATTAGTGTATATATGTTAATCCCAATCTCCCAATTCATCCCACACCCTCCCCCCACCAACCCCTGGCCGCTTTCCCCCCTTGGTGTCCATATGTTTGTTCTTTACGTCTGTGTCTCTATTTCTGCCTTGGAAACTGGTTCATCTGTGCCATTTTTCTAGATGGATTTTTTTCTTTATTATGGTAAAAAATACATAACCTAAAATTTACCATTTTAAGAGGCTTTCAGTTCAGTGGCATAAAGTACATTTTTTTGTGTGCAACTTAGAGGGTATCGTTTTAGTGGAAAGTAAATAGCTTCAAAAAGGGGATAGGTGAATCTCTGACTCTGGATTTTTAAAGAAGGAAGTGAGGATGTTTTGGAGTCTAGTGACAGCAGGGACAAAAATGCCTTTCCATAATCCATCTTTTGGTGCCTCTGTCAGTGATGGAATATTAGGTGGGCAGAGTTTTAAGAATACTCAGGCATGGTAGATAAAAAGGCTTGTGGCCCAAGTCAGAAGTCATTGGGTCTTGTTCAGAACAAGATAAAAAGGGAAGATGTGGGTGGGGACTGGTTGCTTATTTGAACCACAGGAAACCTGGACATGATGGAAAATGATGTGCCTGTACCCACACGTGTGTGTGTGTGTGTGTGTGTGTGTGTGTGTGTGTGTATTTGGTAAGGTTGCCTTTTTATATCTCATCATATTTTAAAAAGAATTTGTGTTGGGTAAAAAGTATATATATATAAAAATATATACAGTATATGAAACCTTTTAACATAAGATTAAAAAGATAAGTAAGTGAAAAGTTGGAGGAAAAGAAAAATGAGGATACAATTACTGTGTTATGATTAGAACACAGAATTTGTGTCAAAGAAAGTCTCACCTTTTTGTCTCTGAGCTTCCTACCAGCCAAGAATAGGGGGAACACACGATCAATTCTGTGGCCCATAGGATCGAAATAGGCCAGAGCTCAGGAGAAGTTCAGCTTCCCTCAGACTAGAGACCTCAGAACATTCCCCCTTCTGTTATCATAAAGAAATCACTAATGTAGAAGACCTTGTCTTCAGTGGCATCTCTAAAGAGAGTACTGGAACTGGTACAGCGTCCCTCAGCCTAGACTGATGGTATAATGTCAGGTACAGGTCAGGAAGGTAGTTCTATGAGGGGTCAGATTAAAACGACTTGTGTGCTGCCCTCTGATGTTCTGACTTAAAACAAGAATAAAATTAGAGAAGCTACAGTGATGTTTCCCACTCTTCAGTCAGTTGAGTAAGAACTTTGTGAAAATTTTCCCATTCTTGTGTAGTATTATTTAATTAATATTTTTACTAACATTTACTTATATATTTTGACTTACCCTAGGCTTGAGATATGTATTTAATAAGTCTCGTTACTGGGAATTTTTCTCTATTTTGATCTTGAATGTAAAGAACATCCAATTAAGAGCTTGGGACTTCCCTGGCAGTCCAATGGTTAAGACTCTGCCCTTCCAAAGCAGGGGGCGCGGGTTCAATCCCTGGTCGGGGAACTAAGATCCCACATGCCACGTGGCGTGGCCAAAAAAAGAAAAAAAAGATTTGGGGCTTTCAGAATCTAAGTTGAAGTGAATAATTGATACCTTATAACTTGCACATGTTTGCTACCTTAAACCTGAACCTGGGGTGAGATAATAGAAATACATTTAATTTTTATTTATAGTCTCCTAGTCAGTATAGCCACCAGGAGTTTCCTGCCGATTGGGAGAATATATGTTCACTAAGTAAAATTTTCTTAAATGTTGTGAAACAAAGGATATTTGTTTTATAAGCTATAAAGGAGAAGAGCCCAGATAGTTTAAGTGAATTAATGGATGATTTGGCAGCCGTGGAGTAGAAATGCCTTGTCCTCTGACCTTTGGCATGCTGCCTTCTTGCCTGGTTGCCTTTGTTTACTTGCCTGAGTTCTTTCTCTGCTTCTATTCGTACACCTGCCATGAACATCACCGAAACGCATGTTCTGTTTACTCTTGTTTCAGAGCTCAAGCATTGACTTTCTAGCAAGCCAAGGATTTGATTTTAATAAAGTTTTTCGCAACGGTAAGACTATGTGTGACCTCTCTTTAGAGCTTGTAAATCTGGATTTAGTTGAGAATTATCTTTTTGTGCCTGCTGTCTGAGACAGGATCTCGGATTCCCAGTCCATCGTGTGCAGCCATAGAGTTTTTATTGTGCCCTTTTTTTAAGGCCTGAACTGAACAGGAGAGGAGCTGCTACTTCATTTAGCTCTAATGAGGCCTCTCAAGCTCCTGGTTTCACTGAGTGGAGCTTTTCTGTTGCTGGTGTGACTTGGTTTCCTGGCAGACCACCTGGGGGGAATGCATCCCTGTTTTCTTTCAGTGGTACAAGTGCTACGATGTAGCATTTTAAAAAGCAGCCGTATTCCAGTAATACAGAGATGGTCTTTGGAGGAAAAATGTCTACATAGTCTGCACAATCCTGATGGCTAACTTGCTGGCATGATAGGCTGGCAAGCGGCCTGGAGTGAGGGACTACGTCCCTTCCTTATCCCCAGAGCAGAGCACGATTCCTCTTCCATATCAGGGAGGTGACAGTTAAATATTTGATGAATGAACGCCGGACGTTAGACCACACCAGAGTGGTTTTCCTTCCTCCATTCATTTGTTTCCCGAAAAGTATTGGGGAAGGCCTCTGGTTTTCTCAGCAGTATTAAGCGCCTGCTGCTCTAAGGTCAATAGGTACTTTTCACTTAATTATTCTTGTAAATTGTATTCATTCCCATGGGAAATGTATTATTGAGTGAGGTAAGAAAGGAGATTTTTCTCAGCAAAGGTTCTAGAACAAAGACTTCAGCTAAAGTCTCTTCCCCTGAGCATTATATCCTTGCAGGGCCTTTAGCACCCATGTCATGTTGTTTTTTAAATTGCTTTAGTGGTGCTGCGTCTTCATGTCTAGTGATGATTTTGATTTTTGGAAATACTAAAAAAAATTTGGAATCCAAACTGCTTAACCTGGTGGGTGAACCAGCTGGGTAACACAGTTTGGGTATAATAAAACTATTTATTTGCTTTGGCTCATACTTGACTCTGAAAGCCATTATAAAACACAAGTTCCAAATGTAGTTAGAGCCCTATAATGGAATAGTTGCAGAAATCTTTTGAAGGAACTACTTTACCCAGACTCATATGAGTGTGTAATTTCCAGCCTGATGGTTTTATTTTCATAAAAGGAGAGAAACAGCTAAATTGGAGGATGCCTCACTCTCTAGTTTTGTAGTCAGACCTTGTAATATTTTAGTCAGAGCTGCATCAGGGCTCCCAGGCCAACTGTTATTACTGAGACTCTAACCCCGTGCTATTGTAGATGTTCTGTAATTCTGACCTAGACCTTCACTTCTCTTTCTTATCAAATCTTGCCACTCAGGGTTCGCAAATGCCAGGCCCTTTTCTCCTGGCAGTCTTCTTGTTAGTGCCTTTGACTTCCTTGTCTGAAATGGAACCAGGTGACTCCTCTTACTGTTCCCCCTGCAGCCCTCCCAAGCACAGGTGGTTTCAGCTCTGTCTCTGTATATGCAGCCAGGCAGTGGTAGGCATGCCACCTTCAATCCACTTGAGTTCCCTCTTCTCAGGAGCCACGCTTCTTGCCAGGGCTGCGTCACCAGCTCTGCCATCCCTCTTTCTGCTGACTTCTTGGGCGTGGCCTTCACCAGCAGCCTTGGCGACAGCTCATCGTCTTTCTCTCCACTCCTACCTCTCTCCTCCTTCTGGGTGACTCCAGCATCCATGAGGACAGCCAGCAAATGCTCTGTCTTGTCTGTTTCTTGGCCAGGCGGTCAGCAGTCCTCGCTTCTGCCTCCCCTTAGCCCTGCACTCCCTTGGTAGCATCGTGGGTCTTATTAGCAATAACTGTGCCCATCTCCATCATTTCTCTTGTCTTTCTCTTCCACTTACTTGGGTACCTCATTTCAGCCATCAGTTGACCTCCATTGCTTTTTCACTATCGGTTACTTTCCACTCTCCTGTCTTGACTTCTCTCCTTGTCCACCTGGTCCATCATTATCCTTTCTTCCAGCCCTTGCTCCTCTTTCCCTCTATTGCCCTGGTCTAGCCAAGTCCCAGCCCTGGTTGGATCTTATCATCCACCTCCTCTATTTCTGAGCATCTGAATATTGCAGGAAAATGTGACACACCTGAGCTAATTTGTCACTTTAAATTCATGACGACAAGCTTCAAGAAAGGACTCAGTCGTGCTCAAAAATCCTACTTTTCTGACTTAGAAATTCCCTTTCCAACTCTCTGTGATGTCTGTCCCACTCAGTTGATGACCATGCCTCTCAATGAAAATAGAAGCCATCAGGGAAGAGCCACTTCGTGTTCTCACCACCAGACCCACAGGTCTCCCCCGAGCCCGGGCTCAGCCTTTTCGTTTCTCTCCTTACAGAGAAGAGGAGTCCCTGCACCGGTCAGAGGCTAGTACCTGCCTCCTAGTCAGGCACTGGCTCTTCCAGTTTGCCCTTCTCTCTCCTGGATATTTTCCCGTCTCTGCTGATCGTTCCATCAACCTTTGTAAACATGCTTTGTGAAAGTGCAGAGCTTCTTAATCTAGGCCATGGGTCGCCTTCCTGCCATAGATAGAATTCAGAAGTCTGTGAACTTGGGGAGGGCATTGTGGAATTCAAATCTATATTTTCTCTAACCTTGAACTGAATTTGTTTGTTTCTTCTGTTAGGAATGTCGGCAACAACCCAGCAGTGTTAGAGTAGCTGGGAAGTTGTCCTCAGTGAAATCCCAGGTATCTTCAAATGGCATTTCAGTTGTGACAGATATCTTGAATATTGTTTACCTTCATCAGTACTTTGAAATTATCATAATTATGTCACCTGCCATTAGGTCTTGTTATTTAATGTGTTGACCAGGAAGCTGATTTCCTGTATTATTATCCCATATTATTATATCACAGATTAAAAAAAGAATTTTTGGTAACTATTTCAATGTAATTACCTTTCTTTACAATCTTGCATATTTTATTTTATGCATTTGAAAACATTATTCTGGGGAAGGGTCTGTAGATTTCACCCGACCACCAAAGGAGTTGGTGGCCTGTGAAGATTAAGCAGGCCTGCAGGAACATCTCTGTTTTGAAATAACTCCAACCAAAGCAAAACCATCCCCCCCTCACTTGATTCCACATCCCCTTTCCACTTCTGGCCTGTGATCCTCCCACTCAGAGGAAAGCATCTTGAATGAGATGTGTGTTCTCACTGTTCCTTCCTCTTCCCCTCTAGTTTTTTCTTCACCCACCCCCAGCTGGCCCGCCATCTGCACCCCTCCAAGGACATTGCTGGTCCCCCGTGTCTGCCATGATCTCAGACCCCATAGATCCTTCTTTGTCCTCATCTCGTTCCACCTTTGGAGGAATTTGACCCAGTCGATTGCTCCCTCCTTCCCTAGACACTGTCCTCTGGCTTTCAGACACTCATTCTCCTGGTTTTCGTCCCACCTCCCTCTGGACTCCCCCGCATCCTTATTGGCTCATTCTCGTCTCGCCAGCTTCTAAATATTACTTTTCCTAGTTGGTCTCATATATTCCATGGTTTTATTTATTTTTTATTATTAAATTCTTATTTTGAAATAATTTCAGACTTATATAAATGTTGCCAGAATACCGCAAAGAATTCCTGATACCTTCCGTCTGATTTCCCAGGTGTTAGCATTATAATGTTTGCTTTGTTGTCCTTTATCTCATTATATATGTGTATATATAATTTTTTTCCTGAACCATTTTAGAGTAAGTTGTACCCATGATGCTCCTTTATTCCTAACTACTTCAGTGTGAATTTTCCTAAAAACAAGAGCATTCTCTTATATAGCACAGTAATCCAAATTAGGAAATTGACATTGCTACAGTACTGTTACCTCATTTGCAAACCTAATATAAGTTTTGCTACTTATAGCAAAAGAGGAAAAATAATTTCCCCTTGTCCCGATTCAATCCAGGACCACACGTTGCCTTTGAACTGTCATATCCCTTTGCTCTTTTAAAATCCAGAACAGTTTCTCAGTCTGTGATTTTAGTACCTTGACATTTTTGCATAGTGGAGGCTAGTTATTTTGTAGAATGCCCCTCAATTTGGATTTTTTTGATGTTTCCTCAGACAAGTCCAAATGCATCTGTTCATCTCGGGCAGGGATACTGCAGATGTGAATGTCTGTGTTGCTCAAGTGCATCATATCAGGAGGCATATGACATCAATTAGCCGCATTACCGACGATAACTTTTTTTTTGTAGTGTGTAAAGTGTGAAGTACACTAATATTGTTGTGCAGCTGTTGGTGTTTTTAATGTGGATCACTTTTTCACCGATTAGTTTTAGCATCCATTGATAATTCTTGCTTGAAACAATTATTATTGCTGACAAGCGATGATTTTCTAATTCCATCATTCTTTCTATAAAGTTTTTTAAGTGTCACATGGCTTTTAATGTCCCCCACGTCCTGATGACACCTACATTTATATCTCAACACCTTTCTCTGGAGCTTTAGGCTTATATCTGTACCTCTTCATTTATATATACATCCCTAGATGATTTATTATATCCAGGAGGTAGCTTTTGATTTTCACCCCTTGGGCCCCAAGTTTATTCATTGCCTGGTTTTCCCCACTTCAGTAAGTGGCCCTACTGTTGTCCCAACTGCTTAAACCTAATAGTTAGATGTCGTTTTTTATTTTGCCCTTCCCTTTCTCCCTCACCCACAGTATGTTGGCAAGTTCTAGCTCTCCTATCTGTAGAATCATTCTCTCCATCTCTGTAGATTAGGCCAAGGTCATAAACTATGACCTTCTGCCTATTTTATAAATAAAGCTTTACTGGGACACAGCCATACCCATTCATTTACCCATTGTGTGGCTGTTTTCATGTTAAAAAGGTCAGAGTTAAGTAGTTGCAACAGAGATCCCCGTATGGCCCTCAAGCCTAAAACATCTACTGTTTGTCCCTTTAAGGAAAAGTCTGCTGACCTCTGATCTAAGCGGTTGTCTCTGGCCTGGACATCTGCAGTGGACAGTTCCTTCCATCTGACCTCCCTACTTCAACTCTCACAGGAGTCCAGATGATCTTTTAAAAAACATGGAGCAGATTATGTGATTATCTTGCTTAAAACCTGATGATATCCCATTGCTCATAGAATAAAGTAAATTCTTACGTGGCCCGTAAGGGGCTATGTAATCTTGCCCCATCCTCTCCAACCTGACATTACACCATTCTCCTGCTTATGGTTCCTTGCTGTTTCTGGAACAGTCCAAGCCTTTTCCATCCTCTGGGCATTTATGCTTGTTCCCTGCCTGAAATACTCTTCCCCCAGCTCCTTCATATCTGATTCATTCTTACCCTGAGGTCCTCCCTCCTGGTGGCCTTCTCTGGTCAACCTAAGGCCATTCGCTTCACTACAGAGCAGGACAAGTCTACCGTGTTCACTGTTAGCTCACTAGTGCCTGATACAGTGCCTGGCACAGCGTAAGAGCCAAATCACAGTTTGTTGAAAGGAGAATGAATGAACGAGCGAATGGAGTGAATGAATAGACAAACACATTTCAAAATCATTTGTTTTTTCCATTGATTTTTTTGAGCTGTAATTAAATATGGTCTTTCCTGAGTCGTTTAGATGCCTTGGTTTGTTACAAAATTTTTATGATAAATGGTTACTTCTGCTAATGCATTGTTTAAAAAATTCTGTTCAGGAATTCCATACTTAAACCAGGAAGAAGAAAGACAGTTAAGAGAGCAGTATGATGAAAAACGTTTACAGTCCAACGGCGCAGGTGCTTTGTCGTACACGTCTCCTAACACCTCAAAATGTCCCGTGACGATTCCTGAGGATCAGAAGAAGTTTATTGACCAAGTGGTGTAAGTTCCTAAACTGAAACCAAACGTGTGTTGAGTCACGTGTCTTGGAGCAGGGCTGACGTCTGTATCTCAGGCTCGTGCTTCACGTGCACAGTGCACACAGAGGTGTGATGTCTGAGGGGCAGGATTTAGCTGTGGTGTATCTGAGTTTGTGTCACAGCTGTCAACTGTAAATCGAGTTCTGTGTACTGTACTTAGACTTCCCATGTGTCGCCAGGCAAGAGACTATCTTGGCCAAGTGGTCAGACCTGCGTGGACCACGGGCCTGACAGCCACCGTCCAGTCCCCATGAAAGCAGAGGCCCATCCAGATATTTGCAACACATCCATGTTTTTTTCTCTTGCAGTGAAGTTTCTGACAAGCAAATGTGCCCTCGGAGGAGCGTCTGGTTTTGCTCTGTTTAGCTGTCAGTATAACTGCTTTACTAGGAAAGTAAAAATGCAAATCATTTGTATTGCTGAATCCTGGAGAAGTTGTTGAGAACTCATTAATAACAGCAACAAATGCCAAAATAAAGTATTTTTCTTTAAGCCTTACTGAACTAAAAAGTTATAACATGATTTGGTAAAATTACAGTGTCGTATGTTCTTGTATTTGGATTGCTTTTGAGTATGATGATTCTGCTGGTTGACAGCTTCATTCCTTAATGATGCTGATGGTCATGTTTCTATTCTAATTCCTCAGAGAGAAAATAGAAGATTTATTACAAAGTGAAGAAAACAAGAACTTGGATTTAGAGCCATGTACTGGGTCAGTTGCCCTGAATATTTTCATGTGTACTTTTTTTGGAAAGGTAGATGATTTCTGGCATGTGCTTCATTTGGTTGCTTAAAAATGCTTTCATAAATAGTCTTTTTATTATAGGTATGTTCCCAATATTTCAGCACTAACCTTAGCATTAACAGAATTGGGACCATGGTATATAGAGACACTGAATGAATGCTTTGTTCCATCCTGGAGGGGAGAAAACTGTTGTGCACCTTTGCTTTAAGTCATGCTCAAGAGTGGCATCATTATTGTAGCCTCGACTTGTGCTTCATACATAAAGGCTTCAGAAGAGCAGAATTTACTGTCAGGCTACTCCTGTCCTTTTTTTTTTTTTTTTTTTGCTGTACGCGGGCCTCTCACTGTTGTGGCCTCTCCCGTTGTGGAGCACAGGCTCCGGACGTGCAGGCTCAGCGGCCATGGCTCACGGGCCCAGCTGCTCTGCGGCATGTGGGATCTTCCCAGACCGGGGCGTGAACCCGTGTCCCCTGCATCGGCAGGTGGACTCTCAGCCACTGCGCCACCAGGGCAGCCCTACTCCTGTCCTTTTAATTTCTCTCTGCAGTAAAAACCATCAGTGTTTCATAGAGTCAGTGACTGAAACAGCCTGCTTTCCTTCCTTTTACTTTGTGACTAGCTTCACAGAAGTGTTTTAATACATCTGTCTACTTAAAACTCTTCATACAGCCACAGGAAGTAATACTTTGGTTAGACAAGAACTTCTGCCTCTTCTATAAAGGCAGTATAATAATAATAAAGAGCATTTCGATGAAAAGTGGTGAGGAATCCTCCCACCTCAAACATCCTGTCTGCTCTTGTTTGCACATTACCTGTCACTTCTGATGAAGTCTCCTTTAAAAATTAAATATTTTTCCCAATTTGAAAAAGAATAAATACATGTATATGAATAACTCAATCACTTTGCTGTACACCTGAAACCAACTCAGCATTGTTAATCAGCTATACTCCAATATGAAATAAAAAGTTAAAAAAATTTCAATCCATCTTTATTTATTTATTTTATCCATTATTATTATCATTATTATTTTTAATTTTATGTATTTTTGGCTGCATTGGGTCTTTGTTGCTGCACGTGGGCTTTCTCTAGTTGCGGTAAGCGGGGGCTACTCTTTGTTGCAGTGCGTGGGCTTCTCTTGTTGCAGAGCACGGGCTCTAGGAGCGCAGGCTTCAGTAGTTGTGGTGCGCAGGCTCAGTAGTTGCGGCGCACGGGCTAGTTACTCTGTGGCATGTGAGATCTTCCTGGACCAGGGATCGAACCCATGTCCCCTACACTGGCAGGCAGTTTCCCATCCACTGTGCCACCAGGGAAATCCCCAATCCATCTTCTAAAAAAAAAAAAAAAAAAAAATTAAATGTCTTTCCCAGCCAGTGCTTGGTCAGTTTGAATTTTCCTTTAATGAGCCAAAATTAATACCTTTTCATTTGTTTTTATAGGTTCCAAAGAAAACTAATTTATCAGACTTTGAGCTGGAAGTAAGTGTTTATATTATACACGAGAGCTCTGTGAGGGACCCAGGATTTAAAAACTAAATGTAATTTTTTAGCTCTTATTTCATTTTTGATATTCTGCAGTTCTTGGTGATTTGACCATACCGTGTTCTTGGGTAGTGCTTTATTTTGTTATTGCTTTCCCCTAATTTCTTAAGTTGAATACCCACTTAATTTATTTCATACCCACTTAATTTATTTCCTTGTTATTCCTTCTTAGTAGATGTTGTAAAGCCTTTACAATGTTCTTTTAACTGTCACTTTGGCCTGTCCATTAACTTCTGGATGTGTAGTGTTTTTGTTCTTTGAAGGTATCAATATATGGTAAAGATTTGGTTTTAAGACCTGGGAAATACTCAGGTGAATGCTTTTTCTAAAACAGGGGTTAGGCCATGGGTAGGTTTCAGGAGGCCTATGAATCCCCTGAAACAATATCCAAAACTGTGTGTGTGTATTTTTCTGGCGGTGTTTCTGTTGGTTTAATTATATTTTCAAGTGGATCTCTAACTCAAAAATTGAGTATCAGGATTAGACAGATGGATGTTTGCACTTGACTTTGTTTGGGGTTCTTGTTCTTTCGTTAGAGTCTGCCAGTGGCATGTATACTGGGAATTTACTTTGACCAAAACAGGAAAAGGGCCATTGTTGTTTGACCAGGCTCCTTTCCTCTCACGTTATCCTTGCCACGTACTCCACCCGAGTTCCAGATTCCTCTCCTGGGCAGATGAAACTACTGTGCCAGATTACAGCAGAGTTACTCATCTCACGTCTCCCCTGTGCATGCCCCAGATCATCCAAAGAGACCTTCAGAATTTTACTTAGGAAGTAAACATTGTGATATTTAGAAGCAAGATTTGACAGTGTAGTAATGAGTTGACTGTATTACGGGATGCCTGACATTTCAGAAGATGCCTAAGTCCTAAAAATATTAATTTGAAATCAGTTACATTCCTGTGTTTTATTTTGTTTTTTTTTTGCGGTACGTGGGCCTCTCACTGTCGTGGCCTCTCCCGTTGCGGAGCACAGGCTCCGGACGCGCAGGCTCAGCGGCCATGGCTCACGGGCCAAGCCGCTCCACAGCATGTGGGATCTTCCCGGACTGGGGCATGAACCCGTGTCCCCTGCATCGGCAGGCAGACTCTCAACCACTCCGCTACCAGGGAAGCCCACATTCCTGTGTTTTAAGAGGAGAGAGAGGGAAACATTTAGCAGCTGAAATTACTCTAAAGTCTTCCTAGTAGTGGTATTTATTTCATACTTAATAAAACTTAAGTAATGAAATTATGGCTATGTAGTTGTTTTTAAAATACTTAGGGTTTTAGCTGTTGTCTCATCTACTGATGTCATGTTTTCTTTCTTTTCTTTAGGTATCCCAAAGGCATTCATGTTGAGACTTTAGAAACTGAAAAGGTAACCTCAAGAATTAACCAGGGCCAACATCAAACGCATGAAACCCATGCAACAATATGCAAATGCAAAATGCGATCAAATTGAGCAGTTGAAAGTCAGAGTTTACTCCTTGGCTCTGCTACATATGAACTGGGTGACACTGGGCAAGTCATTTCCCCTCTGCCAGCCTCGTTTTCCTCATTTGTGCATTGGGCATGAGCATGGTAATGAGCTATACCTATCTCACAGCTTTTTAAAAGATAGTTATCAAGTGGGTAGATGGAAGTGAACATGCTTTGTAAACTTGAAAGTATGCAAATGTTAGTACATGTTCTTAATCCTCACAGAAAGCTGATATACATGGTATCCATGTAATAATTGCTTCCTGTTATGTGGCCCAGTAAAATTAAATTTTAGAATCTGGGACATAAACATAGCTATCATCATGTACTCCCAGGGTGCAGTGATAGAACTGTGATGGGTAAAGGTGGGCTGATGGTGAGCTAATAGTGCGTTCCTTCTACAGAATTTTAGAATTTAGTTCTTGTTGTTAAGTCAGATGTCTAATTAAATAAGAGATTAAGTAAATTAAGTCTTGCTAGAAGAAAAATCTCAAACTTTGACACAGGAGGTTTTGTAGTATATTTGATTGATACAAAATGCAGTATGTGAGAAAGAAGGTGCTGGTTATCTGACAAGTTACCAGAAAATCCAGAATTTTTTTTTTTTCCTTTTTTTTGGCCATACCACACGGCTTGTGGGATTTTAGTTTCCGACCAGGGATTGAACCTGGTCCCTTGGCAGTGAGAGCCTGGAAGCCTAACCACTGGACCACCAGGGAATTCCCCAGAATTTTTTTCTTATGTTAATGAAATGTAGAAATTTTTTTATCGAGGTGTGGTTAACTTACAATATTACAGTTTCAGGTGTACAACATAGTGATTCAACATTTTTATAGATTATATAGAAATTATTTTAAAAACAACTATTTAGAAATTCATGTTCAAATGCAGCATCTTAGTGTTCATTATGGAGTGTCTTATTCTCACAGTCTGTTGATATTTATAATTGTCTTTTGGGTTGATTAATAAACCATGGGAAAATGTCACGGAAACACGGAGGTGGAATTTTGGTTTGTAAAGCATCAACTCAAGTTTTGGTGGCATTTCAAAATACTTTCAGTGTGTTTAGCCCATGAAGGACTGTGCAGTGAGAAAAATTGTACTTCTCCTGGTAGCAGAATCTGAATTTTGGGGGGTAGGGGTCAGGTAGCTTCCAGAAAATTGTATATCTGCTTTATGTCTTTTAGAAAGAGCGCTATATTGTTATCAGCAAAGTAGATGAAGAAGAACGTAAAAGAAGAGAGCAGCAGAAACACGCTAAGGAACAGGTGATTGGATTATGTTCATTTCCTTTGGGTGAGAAATGGCTACAGAGTTGTAGATCCTGTGATAGATTCAATTTAATGAATATTTTTCTACTAGAGAAGAATCGAATTGGTAGCAAAACCTGGAAGAGAATGAGGGGAACCTAAGGTTAATTAATTAGATGCAGCCAACAAAGTGAGGCTGGCATCATGGTTGACCAGTCTTCACTTCCATGAAGCAGTCTTGGAGAAGGAATTAGTGGTTATCATTTAGATTGTGTGTCACTGAGCTTCACAGCCCATTAACTAATCTTGCTGTGTCTAACTTCAGGCACAGTTACTAGTTTTCCTAAAACAAAGGTTAGATGATACGATTTGACAGATTAGGATGCACGGTCATATTTGCATCGTTAGAACCTCACCCTGGTTGTCCTCTGGAGAATGGATTCGAGTAAGTCTGGATGCAGGGAGACCAGTTCAGCTGCGGAGTAACCAGCTAAGAGATGTCAGTGCCCTGGAATAGGAAAGTTAGTAGCAGTTTAGGTGGAATCTGGCCATCTTTAGAAGGTAGCGTCAGTGGAATTTGTGATTGGATGTGGGTGGTGAAAGACGAAGGCAGAAGAAAGAAGATGCTCAGGCCGGGAAGTTGGGCAGCTGGGCAGGCTGACATCAGTCCACTTAGATGGGGTGGCGGAGTGGTGTTGGTGGGGGGGCGCAGGTGGAGGAGGCCAGGAATGGGTTTGGGCGAAGGTGGACGTCCAGCTCACCCATGCATAAAGCAGGGCCACATCAGACTAATGCAACCAGGAAAGACACAGCAAGCCTCTGTTAGATATAGACAGTTTATGACTTAGAGAAGGTGACAGCTACACGTGGTGCTTGTCCCACAAACCAAAAAGACAACACTGAAACAAAAGGGGCCAGGTGACTGCAGAGTGAGCTGTGGATGCCCCATCGCCGAGCAGCCAACTCTAGACTGCGGTTAAGTGCTTTCATACTCTGTAGTTCTATTCTGAAAAGGCGGTGGGGCAGGAAGCCCCAGGCCTCGTCAGAACCTGGGCAGCAGTGAGAAACTGTCTCAGGACAGCCTCCCAGGCGAGAGAGGGAGGTGGCCTCCCATCCTCTCCTGGGGTGTTCCATCCAGATGCACATTAGTTACATCTCAAGCCTTTGCCTGCGTGGACTATCTGGATATGTGCAAGGTCACCAGGATACCGTGGTAGGGCTGTACCCCTATAGTGGACAAAGGTGTTACATTCGGCTTTTGAGCAGATGAGGTTCTCGATGTTTTGGGGGCATCTGAGCATCGGTGTCCTGTCAGCAGATTGTCGTGCTGGAGTGCAGGAGAGGGGTGAGGGCTGGACTTTGTTGTTGGCAGAGAGACCGGGACAGGATGAGAGCACCTATCATATGCATGAGGAAGGAGCAGAGGGCCCAGGGTCGGATCCTGAGGACCACCAGCATCTGAGTGATGCGCAGAAGTGCAAAAATGTGCCTGAGGTTATTGTGACACAGCAGCCAAGGGGAAGAGTGTATGAAGAAGGGGATGTTGACAGGGTCTGATGCTCTCGAGAAGTAGAATGAGGACTGAGACATAGGCATTGGGTTTAGCCTTGGGAGTAGGTTTTTTTCTTCTTTTTTTAAAGAACATTCTTTAAAAAGTTAAAATAATTTTAATTCTGGTAAAATGTATAACATAAACTTTACCATCTTAACCATTTTAAACTGTACAGTTTTGTACTGTAAAGTATATTCACACTGTTGTGCAACCGTCACCACCGTCCATCTCCAGAACTCCTTTCATCCTGCAAAACTGAAACTCTGTACCCATTAACAATAACTTCCCATTCCCCCATCCCCCAGCCTCTGGCAACCACCATTCTACTTTCTGCCTCTGTCAGTTTGACTGCTCTAGGTGCCTCATGTAAGTGGAATCGTACAGTATTTGTCTGTTACTGGCTTAGTTCACTTAGCATAATGTCATTTAGGTTCATCTGTATTGTAGCATGTGACAGAATTTCCATTCTTTTTAAAGGCTGAATAATATCGTATGTACTACATTTTGTTTATCCGTTTATCTGCTGTTGGACACTTGTGTTGCTTTCTACCTTTTGGTTCTTGTAAATAACGTTGCTCTGCACATGGGTGTACAAGTATCTCTTTGAGTCCTCGTAGTTCTTTGGGGCACATACCCAGGAGTGGGATTGCTGGCTCGTATGGTAGCTCTGTTTCTAATTTTTTGAGGACCAGCCACACTTTTCCACAGTGACTGCACCACTTTACATTCCCACCAACGGGGCACAAGTGTTCCAATTTCTCCACATCCCTGCCAACGCTTGTTAGACTTGAGAGTAGTTTAAAGAGGTGAGCAACTTCAGTGAGGGTGAAGCGGGGGAGCAGGGGGCTTGCGGGTCCCTGGGAGTTGAACTGGACCTAGTGAGTGGAGAGGAGTCTTTAAGGAATTTAGCTGTGAAGAGACAAGAAGGAGAGTGGTTGCGTGGAGCTCAGATTAAAGGAAGGGGTTTCAAGATAGGAGAGAAATTGAGCCCATTTAAGTGCATTGGGAATAAAACAGGAGAGAAGAAACTGAATGGGGATGAGTCTCAGTGCTATGCTATAAAAATTTTATAAAAATGCATTTGACCAGGAAAAAAGAGCCTGAACATTCTTGATTTGACAGTCAGCTGCTGGGTGGGTCACCTCAGAATTGAATTCAGTATTGAGTTTGGCCAGCAGGTGGCAGCTTTTAAAAGTTTGTGTTTCTAAGGCAACTTGAGAGACTAGGAAATTTCAACAGTCAGATGGGAAGTGATGGGTAAACCCTAGCACTGTTATTTTAGTAACTAATGAATAATTTGCCACTTTGCTCATTTTAAAACAGAAGAAAGGTATGTGCATAGGTCATTTTAGATGCAGTTGTTTGGGGTGATAGACTCAAAGCATGTGAAACTAAAGCTATCTAACTTCAGTCTTTTTTTTTGCCTAGATTTTAACCCGTTCAAATAAGCAATATGTATATGTCAATAGTGGTTTTTTTTGTTTTGTTTTTAAATTAGGAAGAACTGAATGATGCTGTGGGGTTTTCTAGAGTCATTCATGCCATTGCTAATTCGGTAAGTGAACCAGACTTTTTAACTAATTTCATGAACATAACATTTAAGGTGAAATGCCCAGTTATCATTGCACATTAATCATCTGGCCAGTTTAGATTGTTTGCCTGGTCTGGAGGGAGAAGTTAGCACTTCATAAAGACAGATTGTTGTTAAAAGGCGCTTAGTGTGACATCGTAATTGTGGAATTATATCCAAACCATTTTTTTAGAAAGCATTTCTTGTAAAACGCAGGGGAGGATTATACAGTGACAGCCTTATGTGGCTCCGTGGAACTAATATTTATTATTCTCAAAACCAATAAGAAGCAGAATAACAAACTAAAGAATATGTGAGAAACAATCTAGTGTTTGAAGCGTTTTATTCCTTAATTAGAAGAATCTAGAGGGTAAAAATAATTGTATTGAGTTCTCTGCATAACTGTGATTGAATCTTATATCTCATAGCCTTAATAACATTTGATACATTTAAAAAAATGTGTTGACCATTTGTGTAAATATGCTGGAGGGTTCTGTAATAGATAGGATAGACATTTCCTCCTGTTTCGTAAATCCTTTCAGGAAAGAGGCACCCACATCTTGAATAGATTAAACTGGGTCTTGCTGCTGGTTGTTTTGTGAGTTATGCATCCGAGTCAGACTGCTTGCCTGGATGCTAAGTTGCCTGGAATCCCAAGACTTTTCTTTACTTGAGTAGCTGGCCTAGGGAGAAGCAGTTGTCCCCCTGCAGGAGGAGTCATCTTGTCCCTTAGATGCTGAACTCTGCATCAGGGAAGCTTTACGGCCAGACTCCAGGAGTCCATGAATGTCTCACCACCAGGTGCAGGCTTGTCAAACAGGAGCATCTGAGGAGAGGCAGCCACTGTCCCCAGTAGGGGTGGGGGGCTGTGGCCAGTAAACAGAAGTTAGAGAGCCTTGTGAAGGAGGAGGGCTGGCTCACCCAGAGCTCTTTCGCTCAAGTAAGTGACGTCATCAGAACGGAATAGAAAGTTGGATGAGCCTGGATAAAAACCAAGGTGTGAGTCTCTTGAGAAGTGGCTAAGATTAAGGGTATCCAGAAAAGCAGAGAGGAGTGACACTTGCTTACATTATACACTCTTAGCAACCTTTAGAGCAGTGGTTGATTTGACTGAGGCTGTCCGTGAAACACAGAGATGTGGGGTGGCAGTTGGCTTTGAGCCCTCTTATAGCCACTGTGAGGGTTTAGGTAGCTTTTCCAAGATTGGGACGTTTGTTTGCCTTGTACAAACAATTTGGATACCTTAGCCTGCTGTGCCTCTGTTTATTTTTTCTCTCTGTTTTCTCTCTTCTGCAGAGTGATTCATAGTATGTTGCTGACCATTGGTAGTTCACGTCACAAAGCATACTGCGAAAAAAGCCCTATTTATTAGTGATCCAGACTTAAAATTGAAAAGTGACATACCTTAAAAATACTAACATAGTTAAACTCTGTAGAGCCAGTGAACAGTAGACTCTCTTTATATCAGATCAAATTCTTTTCCCATCACTCTTGGTAGTGAGTCTGTTTTAAAAAATTTTGTATTAATTTTTCACCCACAGAAAAGTTGCAAAACTGGTACAGAGTTTCCATATATCCCTCACCTAGCTACCCCAATGTTATTATCTTACATAATATACGGTTATCAGAACCAGGAAATTAACATTGGTACAATATTATGAACTAATTTGAATTTCACCCTTTTCCACGAAGTCCTTTTTCTAGTCACAATTCTATCTAGGATCCCACATTGCATTTACTTGTTATTTCTCCTTAGTTTTCTGCAGTCTGTAATTTTCTTTGTCTTTTATAACCTTGATATATTTTTTAAAATATTTATTTATTTATTTGGCTATGTCAGGTGTTAGTTGTGACATGTGGGCTCTTCCTTGCGGCACTTGGGCTGCTCTGTAGATGTGGTGCGTGGGCTCCAGAGCGCACAGGCTTAGTTGTCCCAGGCATGTGGGATCTTAGTTCCCCGACCAGGGATCGAACCCATTTCCCCTGCATTGGAAGGCGGATTCTTAACCACTGGATCACCAGGAAAGTCCCAACCTTGATATTTTTAAAGAGTGTTGACTGTAATTTTGTCAGATGTCTCTCACTTTGGATTTGTCTGATCTTTTCTCATGTTGGATTGAGGACATACATTGATTGAGGCAGGAATACCACAGAAATGACGGTTCATGATATTGACCTGAATCACTTGGTTTAGGTGATGTCTGCTGGATTTGTGCACTGTAGAGTTACGGTTACCTCTTTTGTGACTGATAAATATTTTTGGGGAGATACTTTGATTGAGACAAGGAAAATCCTGTGTTTTTTTGTTTGTTTGTTTGGGGTTTTTTTGGCCGCACCACGTGGCATGTAGGAGTTCCCCGACCAGGGATCAAACCCTTGCCCCCTGCGGTGGAAGCGCAGAGTCTTAACAACTAGACCACCAGGGAAGTCCCGAAAATCCTGTTTTTCCTCAAGCTTTTGCCTGTAATGTAGCATCTGTCGGTGGATCTTTCTTGCAGCCATTATTGCTGTGGTTTTCTAGTGGCGAGTCTGTGTTTCCCTCTTTCTTTCTTCATTCGTTCTTGGAATTCTTCTAGAAGGAAGAGCTGTCCCTGCTCCCCTGTTTATTTGTTAATTCTTTTTAAAATTTTTTTGGACTCAGGGAAATTTATTTCATTCTACAGATTTTAATCTACTTTTTTTACTGTTTATTTTGGGGCTCAGATGGTACCACCTTGGCCATTGGAGTTTCTTCAGGTTGACTTCCCCTGGAACAAGCCCCCACCCTTTTCTGAGCACCTCCTTACTTTCTGACATCACAAGATGTTCCAGACTCATCTTCTATTTTCCCTGCCTCAGCTGTAGAATCAATGACTTCTCCAAGGAGCCCTGGTTCCTTTTATTGGAGAATGGTGTTTCGAAACCAAGATCTGGTCCTGGGCTACTACTGTGGTGTTAGTGCTTCTAGTTCCCCTCACTGGACAGAGCTAAGAATGATACATGTGTGTAACCATGCATGTATACACACATTGATATTTCCATGTCTGACATATATGTATATATATTAAAAAATGCCTTTATACTGATAGAACTCAGATTGTAGTCCAATACCACAGGGTTTCTTTTCTTTTTTTTTTAAAATTAATTAATTAATTTATTTATTTTTGGCTGCGTTGGGTCTTCATTGCTACGCGCGGGCTTTCTCTAGTTGCGGCTGTGGTGAGCGGGGGCTACTCTTCGTTGCTGTGCTCGGGCTTCTCATTGTGGTGGCTTCTCTTGCTGTGGAGCACAGGCTCTAGGCACACAGGCTTCAGTAGCTGTGGCACACGGGCTTCAGTAGTTGTGGCTTGCGGGCGCACAGGCTCAGTAGTTGTGGTGCATAGGTTTAGTTGCTCTGTGGCATGTGGGATCTTCCCCGACCAGGGTTCGAACCTGTGTCCCCTGCATTGGCAGGCAGATTCTTAACCACTGCGCCACCAGGGAAGCCCAGGGTTTATTTTCAACCTACTCTCTTTTCTTATTTGTACATTTTTTTCTCCAGCATTGGGAAATGCAGTTCTTATTATATGCTGTTTTCATAGTTCTGTTCTTATCAGCCTCCTTCAGTGTTGTTGAGGGATTCATTTATAATACAGTTAGGTTCACGTTTCAGGTTTGTATTCCATTTTTGGTTCCTTCCACGTCTTCTCTGTGGTTTTAATCAGTATTTGGTATTTTAGCATTGTATAGGTGTTCAGAATGTGCCCACACACTGAGCCAAAAGGACGGCTTGTCTTTTGGATTTGGGAGATTTTGTGTAAAATTATTTATTTCAAATAATTATGTTTAGCTCTGTGAGTCAAGGAGTGTTACTCTGAAGGGCCACTGGGACATAGTGAAAAGCTCCACTGTAGTGACCAGATGCTTTATGTTAAAAATGCTGTCACCTGGCTAGCTAAATCCAAGTTGATATTCCGTTTTCGTAGCTTAATTTTTATCAAAATGGACCAATTTATTGCACATATATTATACCTTACTGGTTGAAAAGCAGTGAATTTCATTGGAAATATTTCAGAACGAGCCCCATGAATTTTGACATAGATAATGAAGGAAACGAAAACTCATTCTACTTAATAAAATTAGAAATTAGTTATTTTTACCTTTTCGCATTGTTATGAATGTATCTTTTGGAAATAAAAGTGAGTTGTTTTAAAGAATACACTCCGAAAATAGATATTTGGAGTTTGTTGACAAATTATTCGACAGTTCAAGGTACCTAGCATTTTCAGTTACTTTCTTGAGCTCTTCAATAAAAATTTTACTACTGATTCTTGTGGGTGGCAAGATGAATAAAAACCAGAGGAAAAAAATCAATGAAATCAAAGTCATTTGGAGTTTTACTTTGCGTTTTGGATTGAACACCAGAAGAGGAATGAAGTCAGCCCAAATTTCTTTATTTGCATATCTTTATACATTTTTTTCCTTAGTGTCAAAAAGTAAGTTTAGTACAAAATTCTTATGGAACTGAACCATACATTTCACTCTCAAGTCCTGATATAATTTTGTACCAAGAAGTCTTTTCCTAATCTTGACTTTTTTTAGGGGAAACTTGTCATTGGACACAATATGCTCTTGGATGTCATGCACACAGTTCATCAGTTCTACTGCCCTCTGCCCTCGGTAAGTGACTTGTCAGCCTGTTTTAAAAATTCATGAGTCTTTATTACTGAGAACGTGTTCTCTGCTGGGTGCCATTTCCTTGTCTGCAGCATGCTCCCAGAGGAACAGTTTCCTGAGCTTGGTTGTACATTTTTGAAGATACATACCTACAAGCCATTTTAAGGGATCTTTGGTCATCTGCCATTGCCGGAGCACGGTTAAACATTTGTTTCGTCGTGGCGCCAGTGGTTTGCTCAGTTAGTGCTGGGTGGGGGGTTCCTGGGCCGCAGGTGTGGTCTTCTAGTTTGGTATTGCTCACAGGAGAAATAGCAGGGCCGTTGAAGGTGGGGTGGTGCTAGAGGTCATCTAGACTGGATCAGGTTGTGCAAAAGTCTTGGTTACCTCTTTTGAGGCTGCTTCCCTTAGGTTCTCTGTTGACCTCGGTGTTTTTTTTTTTTTACTCTTGGAGCCAGGCCATCTCAGTGCACCAAAGCATGAGCTTTGGGAAAAGAGCTTCTCTTCTATCTCCTCCTCTTCTGCTCCTTGACTGCCCGTGGCCTCGTCTTGTTTGCCCCTTGTCACTCTGTTCTCTCCTCTCCTGTATTTTCTCTCCATATTTTCTGTCCTTTAGTCATCTCACCCACTTCCAGGACTTCAGCTGAAGACACCCACATCTTTTTCTCCAGCTGGGATCTCTCCTCAGATCTAGGTCGTAATTCATGCTGGACCCCACATGTGTCTACCTGGATAGCCTTCAGAATGAGAGGTGTTTAAAATTCACATGTTGCAAACAAGATGTGTAACTTAACACAACCTTTCTTTCCTTTAGTCTCCAATCCAGTTCTTTCTCCTGATTCCTTTACTATAAATGATGCCCAGTCACCAATACTGTTTTTAACATCGGTTTTGACCCTTCTTCTGTGCCCCAGATTTGGCCAGTTACAAAATACTGGCAATTTTGTCTCCGGGCTGTCTCTCACATCTGGATTATTTTCATTTCAAGTAGCAAGTAGCCTTATTTCTCATCTGGAGTTAGCAAAAAGAATCCAGGCAGGATTCTCTATCTGGCTTTAACCTTCATCCCATCCTTTAAACCAGAGGTTGGCAAACTTTTTCTATAAAGGGTCAGATAGTAAAATATTCGGGGCTTTCCAGGCTGGACGGTCTTTGTCAGGACTCTCAACAGTGCCACTGTAGCCTGAAAACTGCCATAGAATGCAGTGCATAAACAAATGGGTGTGGCTTTGTCCCAGTAAAATTTTATTTAAAAAATAGGTGATGGGCCAGATTTGGCCTGCAGGCCATGGTTTTCCAACCTCTGCTTTAAACTACCACCAGATTAATCTTTTATGACTTCTGGTTTGGATGATACCTACTTTAGAGTTCAGTGCCTTTTGTACATCTGCAAAGCCTCAGTTACTTCATATTTCTTACGAGACATCGTTCCATCAGCATCTTGATTACTTTTCTTTGGAAAAGTCCAACACAGCACCGCTCTGAATACAGCGGGTCTGTTGCTTCCCTTGTCCTATTTCTGCAACCTTCAGATTGTCCCTGCTTTTCATAACAACTGTATTGCCCTCTGGGACTCAAAGACATCATAGTTGTGAGTCTCAAAACAAACATGATGGGTGTGAATTTGCATTGTGTACATCTAAAGAGCTAATGTTAATTTCAGATCATTCACTCCTTATTGGCCGAATGGTAGCAGTCTCTCTCACGACTTTTTGACCTTTAAAGCAGTGAAGGTATCTGTAAGGAAAGAGTAAAGTATTTAATACTGTGTTTATAGGTGTTTTGAACACCAAACAGAGCTTGGCATGTAAGATGCATTAAATATTGATTTAACAAATGCGAATCTTCCGACTGTGTCAGTTTTATAATCTCCTGATGTATGGCTCTGTTCACATCACTAACCCTGCTCAAAATTCTGAATTAATCCCACATTCTTTGTTTTTCTATACAGTTGATTCTTTTTAGCCTGGCATATCAAGCTTTCTGTGATCTGGCCCAGCCTTCTTGTGTAATCTAGTCACTCGTTACCATCCTTTTTCTCAGCAAGATTGGCTCATTCTCGTTACCATCCTTATTCTCAGCAAGATTGGCTCATTTTTTCCCTGGAAAGTGTCTTTGTATGTCTTTGGTTTGGGTATATAATTTCCTCCAACTTGAATTTTCTCTAGCTTTTCTCAATGTTTGCTATATATGGCTTTACCTATCTTACCAAGGTCCAGCTTACGCCTCTTCCGTGAAGTTTTCCCTGCCTGCTGCCTTGCCCAAGAAGTGATCTTTCCTTTCTCTGAACTCCCACAGAAGTTCAGAGAAACTTCTTTTTGTTTGTGTACCTCATTTGTTGCATAAATTTTCTTTACAACTTACTCCCCTTTTCCTTCTAGGTGATTCGCTCCTTGGACAAGGAATATAACCTTTATTTTTTTTTAATTTTATTTTTCTTACTTTTTGGCTGCGTTGGGTCTTTGTTGCCGTGCATGGGATTTCTTTAGTTGTGGCGAGCGGGGGCTACTCTTCATTGCAGTGCACAGGATTCTCATTGCGGTGGCTTCTCTTGTTGCACAGCATGTGCTCTAGGTGTGTGGGCTTCAGTAGTTGTGGCACTCGGGCTCAGTAGTTATGGATCGCGGGCTCTAGAGCACAGGCTCAGTAGTTGTGGCACATGGACTTAGTTGCTCTGTGGCATGTGGGATCTTCCCGGACCAGCGATTGAACCCATGTCCCCTGCATTGGCAGGCGGATTCTTAACCAGTGCACCACCAGGGAAGTCCTGGACAAGGAATATAATTTTTTTATTATCAGTGTCTAAATGCCTAGCATAGCACTTGTATGTAAGCACTTAATAAATGTTATCTTGAATGTAACTAGTTTTGAATCAAATTCTACTAGAAAGAGCATATGATTTGTTGCAAAGTAGGAGGTGGGTTAGGATAAGCAGTTTCATCCCTTGCTTTGTTACTCAGGTGACCTGAGTATGTTATTTAACTTCTTTGTGTTCTGTCATTGTTGGAAGGAGAAAATGGTTTTCTTCCATCTACCTTTAGAAGAAGCGATGACAATAAAGAGCAAGACCCATTTAAAATGGTAGAGCTTTTACATATGCTGTTTTCAAATGTTGCATTTAAAAGTATACTAAAGAATCCATATTTGGGGACAGCCTTTTAGGGGAGAATCTCCTTTTAAAAGTCTTCTTGGTATTTCATTCAGCATGACCTTTTAGAAGGCACTGGTTTAGAACTCTACTGTATGCTGCTGGCCATGGAAGTTGCCATAATTCTATTTTTTTTTTGCTTGTGAAGCTTTGTAATGGTGTTGAGAGGTTACAGTCTTTATTGCGTTTTTGTGTGACTTAGCATTGAAACCACTTATTCATGTATTGTTCATTAATTTAATGATAGCCATTGAAAAGCTGGTGAATATTTCAAGCTAGCTAAATAGTCTGTATTTACAGGCTTGAAAAGCTAATGGGAAATGGCAGTTGCCTATGAAGCATGAATAACACTGAAGAGAAGTATAGTTACAAAGGGTCAGGAGTATGACGGCGCAGTACAGTGTGGCAATTATGTATGTAAATGAGTTAATTCAAAATGAGAGCAATCTCATTTCAGCTCTAGACTTCCTGAGCAAATAAACTTGGGAAACGAATTGTCTAATTTAGGCACTTGCTATTGGTGCCACTTAGGCAGTTTTCTGAGTAGTTAAACAAGAATCATGTGTATTGGAAAGTCTGTGTTTTAGTGACCATTTTAACCAGTATTTCAATGGTGTTTGCATTAAAAGTGTAACCTAATTTACAATATGTCTATTTCCTGCATGAACCGCTTTATTTTATTTTTAAAAAATTTTTAATGAAGTATAGATGATTTACAGTGTGTGTTAATTTCTGCTGTACAGCAAAGTGACTTGGTTATACATATATATATATTCCTTTTCATATTCTTTTCCATTATGGGTTATCACAGGATATTGTGAACCATTTTATTTAAATAACTCTGCTAGTCTCACTATTATGATGAGCTGTGTAATAGAGCTATTAGCCACAGTTTTCTACATATAATAGAAACCTTTTTTCCCCTATTTCAACCATAAAATGTTCATATTTGTCTATTTTGGTTATGCAGAAGTTTAATATCAGGTCATATGATTCCCAGTCAGTGAGGAAATTGACAAGATTTTTAGAAAGTAATTATTAACAAGATATGGGCCTGACAGTTTAGCCTAAAGGGCCTGTTTGAGGTATCACTGTTTGAGAAGAGAGCTATGGGACTTTAAATATTTATGTTTTAAATATTGTGAGTGTATGAGTAAAATCATAACAGGTCATCCTCTTGTTTTTTAGGACTTAAATGAGTTTAAGGAGATGACAACATGTGTCTTCCCCAGGTAAGCTTTCTTTGAGGATTTGTCTTTCATTTATTTTTTTTATTATTATTATTTTTTAATTATTTATTTTATTTATTTATTTTTGGCTGCGTTGGGTCTTCATTGCTGCACGCAGACTTTCTCTAGTTGTGGCGAGCGGGGGCTACTCTTCCTTGTGGTGCGCGGGCTTCTCATTGTTGTGGCTTCTCTTGTTGTGGAGCACAGGCTCTAGGCACGCAGGCTTCAGTAGTTGTGGCACGTGGGCTTCAGTAGTTGTGGCTCATGGGCTCTAGAGCGCAGGCTCAGTAGTTGTGGTGCATGGGCTTAGTTGCTCTGCGGCATGTGGGATCTTCCTGGACCAGGGCTCGAACTGTGTCCCCTGCATTGGCAGGCGGATTCTTAACCACTGCGCCACCAGGGAAGCCCCTGTCTTTCATTTAAAACAGTCATCAGGGCATCCATAATACAAACATGTATTCAGTGATTTATTAAAACCATTAGGTCATGATGACAGTCCCATTCACATAAGCTGGGAAATGGCTTAACAGCTCTACCTTTGTGATGGTTTGCTTTTACAATTGATGATTGGTTTTGTTGTTAAAAATTAAAAATCAGAAACGACCTGAGGGTGAAAATGGGCAGCACCTGCTTTTTTCTCATCCCACCTCCCGCTATCTGAGGAACTGGTGAGGTCTTCTTGAGTTGGCTCTTGTCTTTCTTATATGTCGGGTGAACCTTGTCACGGTGAAGTGTCCAGTCGAGGGTATTCAGTTGACTATTGGAGACAGTTGAATATATAGTTGGACAGAGTTGAATATGTCCAGTTGAGAGTATTCTGTAGTCAGTCAAGAACTGTCTGCCTAGAGAGTTTCTTTTTCTCAACTTTAAGTCAGTGCCTTAATCTGATAATGTCCACGGTTAGTACTGTGTGTTCTGATAGGTCCACGTCAGCCACATGGAGTCTGCAGAGCAAGGGTCTGCGTCTGAGGACCTGTCTGAAGAGGGCTGGTGGACAGTTGCTCTTTCAGCCAGGCTATTTCTGTCCTTTTATCTGCGGTGCTCACATTTATGTGAGAACAAACAGTTTTCATATTAGTGTCTCTTTCTTTTTTTTTTTTTTTAGTATACCAGTGTCTGAAGCAGAACAGTAAGAAATAACAACAATATTATGAAACTGCCAAATGCAAATTTTGACCCTCCAAGAAATTATGTCGTACAAATCTGGGTAGGAGATGGTAACAGCTTGAGAGTGTTAGACCTGCAACAGTAGTTGATCCATGTAAAAACATATGAGGATATTTAACTTACCCTTGAGGTCAATGTAGCCCATGCCCTCTCAGCAAATCTAGAGCTTGTACTCTGGGTGTGGACTTTCCCACAGTCTCTTGATGAAGTCCCTGGATGAGGGGACTGAGTCCTCATCTAATGTAGCAGAGATGCCAGCACTAGGTTGGAATGGATGATGTGCTTAATTCCTCTGTCCACTTTTAAGACTTTCATTTGAGTAAAATACATTTTGAACATTGCTATACATTTTGTTTACCTTATTAAAAATTCTTTTGCTTTTAGACTCTTGGATACAAAATTGATGGCCAGCACACAACCTTTTAAGGTATTTTTAAAATCTGAACTTTCAAGCTATAGTTTGAAATTTTCTGAATTACTGCTAAGAGCTTTGGAATTCTGGTCTATTGAAATGTCATTTTCAAACCCCCCCCACCGGAAAAAAAAAAAAGAAAAGAAAGAAAGGAACAAAAAAGGAAAAAAGAAATCGGAAAAAGACTAGAAATAAATATATCAAAATGTGAATAGCAGTTAGTTGTCTTTGAGTGGTAGAGTTTTGGGGTTTTTTTCTCCTTTATTCTTTCTGAATGTAAATTTTTAATATTATGTAATGTAGTTTTGAATAGGTTACACATGCACACACTCCTTCATTTCTTTTCCTTATTTTACATATTTTGGATATATATTCTAATCAAGAGAATTCAGGTACAAGTATTATCAGTTGCTACTTTCTGAAGTGCTTTATATGGCTGAGTGAAATGAATGCCAGAGGTCTGTAGATGTCTAACACATCTGTTAAAAACCTTTCATACGGCTGTACTTTCCGTATGGTGGAAATTAAACTTGCCGTTTCTCTTTCACATTGAAAAAAACAATGTGTTAAAGAAACACAAAACAACTGTGTTTCTTTAAAGAACACAAGGGGGCAGTACTAGATGTTTTTGTTTTTTGTTTTTGTTTTTTTCCTGACACTCAGTGAATCTCTTTAATGTATGTTGCACTGAGATGATGAAGGCTCATCATTCTCTACTGGTTTGCAGGATATCATTAACAACACATCCCTTGCGGAATTGGAAAAGCGGTTAAAAGAGACACCTTTCAACCCTCCTAAAGTTGGTAAGAATATAAAATGATCTTGAAAAGCTCCAAACACTTGGTGATAATTACGGATGTTTATCGTAGAAGAAAGGTGGAACTGTTCTAGAAACTACGTATATTGTACATTTGTAGATTTTGGCTAAATTAACTTGCTCATGCCCTGGGTTGAATTACTGTTTTCTGAGTAAAGGTGGTCTTCTAATTCTACATCTGTTTTATGTGAGTAGGATTGGGTCGCCTGTTCATTGAGAAGTTTAGCAATGGAAGCTTCAGGGCCTTTTTATTTCCTAATGCTTGGAATTCTCCCTAAACTTGATGTGTCTTTCTTTTTTATGGTGCTTTGTTTCAGAGGAGACAAAGTTGGTGATTAACTGCAAGGGCTAGAGTGAAAATATGCTTTCTGTCTCAGGAAAGCCCAAGAACTGGGTTTACAGATGAGGAAGGAGGGGCCCCAGCCCTTCCTCCTTCAGAGGTGGCTTAGGCACCCAACAGCAGCAGTGAGGAAAACCAAAAAGGGAGGAATGTTTCTTGGGGGTGGAGTTGTTTTGCCACGTCTGGCCATGGCCCCTACCCAGGTATTTGGTGAACCTTCCAGGTGTTACTTCCTTGGTTCCTCTTAGCCTAGTTGTGCTGTTTGATACCGTGACTCACATTCCCTTAGCTGCAGCCTGCAAACTTCCCCAGACCTTGATAATAGGACTGATGGTTCAGAAATTGACAATGGGGGGTACTAAAGCAGCCAAGGCTACAGTTATTTGCTTCCCTTTCTGGAATAGTCCAAAACAAGAATTAAGAAAAGGGGGGGGGGTTGGTGGAGGGGAGAAAGCCTAGACCCTTTTCTCTAACTATATAATGGAAATAATTGATTTTGGAAATATGTGTTTCAGCTGGTGGCAGGGTAGAAGCTATGACTTAGTTGGGTCTCATGTTAAAAGACTTCTTTTAAGCTTAAAGTCTAATATTTGATACTTACTGAGTTTAAAGAATTCTTGCTTAAAGAGCACTGTATTGACGTAAAAACAATTGTAGCCTTTTCATTATTAATTTCCACTCATGCTTTTGATTCTGTTGTAACCTTTTTGATATTCATTTCCAGAATGGTTCTAGGAAATAATTATCTATGAGTTATAGTTTTATCCTATTATTTCCGTATAATATTCTGGTAGAGAGTTTACTCTAAAGCAGCTTTCTCTTCTTAGACCTCATTCTCTCAGCATCTGTGTATATCAGTGTGACCAAAGAGTCATGTTATAAAATGGTCTCTCCTATGAAGTGGCCCCATGTTCCAAGGGCAGCATTACAGCAAGTTCTGATCTATTTTTGGACTTAGTTGTGCTTTCATCTTTAGATCTGTAAGCTTGGAGACATAGTAAAGGATAGTATTGAATTGAGCTGCCAATCTTGATTGGAGTCTTTTGCTTTTGGGGAGGGTTACCTGGGGGTATTGACAGATAAAAATTACAGAGCGTTTACCGTGTACCAAGCACGGTGTAAGAGCTTTACTTATATTAGCTCATTTGATCCTCACAAAAGCCTAAGGAGGGAGCTTTGATTATCATCTCCATTCTACCAAAATGGAGGCCCAGAGGGGGAGTGATCTGCCCAAGATCACATAGCAAATAAGTGGTGGAGCAAAGATTCAAACTCAGACAGTGGGACGCCAGAGGCCATGCTCTTAGCCATTACTCTGAAATACCTGTTGCGTCCCAATCAGAAGAGGAATCATTGTCACAGAGCGAGTTATGCATGATTGTAAATAGCACCCACCTGCGTGCAGTTGAGAGGCCTGTGGCTGAGTCTTTGATAATATAACGGAGGCATTTCTCTAGTCTAGACCAAAGCCCTTGTTTTCAGTGACTCTGTTATCTCAAGGTCTTGTGTGGAGAGAATTAAGAAATAGATAGCTTTCTTTCTGCCTATTTAGGATGTTTCTGCAGCACAGACTAATGCCATTTGGATTTGGCAGGGCAGTGCACTTACCAGTCTTCATGATTTGTGATGATCTTGGGAAAACTGTTTTTTTTTTTCTTTTTTCCTCTTTAGAAAGTGCAGAAGGTTTTCCAAGTTATGACACAGCTTCTGAACAGCTCCACGAGGCAGGCTATGATGCTTATATCACAGGACTATGTTTCATCTCCATGGCAAACTACCTAGGTACTCACTATACATGTTTCTGTTAGACACACCGTGGTCCAGAGTGGATCTTCCTTGTGTGCCCTTTCCCTGGGATCCACTCACCTCGTGAGAAGTGGAAGGGTTTTGAGGTTGGAGTGGGAGGAGGGGGAGGATGTTAGGGCAGGGGATGGAGAGTACACGGGGAGAACCATCACCGCTTACCTGTGGTGTACTTGGCCTGGATAAATACCTTTTACCCTTGCTGAACCATACCATTGATTTAAAGATATTTTTCAGGCTTTGTCTACTTGACTGTATATAATATTCTGCCTTTTTTCATTAGGTTCTTTTCTTAGTCCTCCAAAGATTCATGTGTCTGCCAGATCAAAACTCATCGAACCTTTTTTTAACAAGTAAGTAATCAGGGTCCCAGTCCCCCAGCATTCTCTCACTGTGGAAGAGCCCAGTATCTGGGATGTCTATTAGGGGTGATTGGGAGGTCTAGGGCATTTTTAGATAAGATATTTTTCATCTCTGGTGACTCAGGTGTTTTTTGAAAAATAGAAATTGACCTTTTCAAAAATAATTTATTAAATATATTGGCTAAATAAAAGAAAGAAAGAAAACATTATTGAAGGTAGCACATCTCTTCCAAGACAAAGAACTGGTGGTTTTGGAATTTAAATGACTCACAAGGGAGACTGTGTGTATGTGTCTGTGTACACAGTCAGACCTAACTTACCCCTAACAAGCTTTATGTGTGAGATTATTATTTATGCTTGCATTATTATCTGATTAAATAATGTTCTTTCTAAGATGATGTTTGTTACACAGATGGCTTTTAAGATAATCTATGGAGAAGTTTTGATTATCATTGCATCCCGAGCCCTCATCTGAATGGATCCAATGAAGTAAAAGCTTGCTCGGATACCTTCATTGTTGGAGGAAGTCAGTGCGATTCAGGGAAATGTCTAAGTTCAGAGCATTTCCAAAGAATCTCAGATAGTTACGTCAAAGTGTGGTTTGTGCTTTCTTGGCACAGTTGAAGCTAAAGTTATGGATGTGATCCTCAAGCCGGCCACAGTTTGGCTCCGTGCCAGAGCCCTAAACCTTCATCTTTACCCCAGCTCTCTTCATGGGCTTCGTTCTAGGAGATTCAGGGCAAGCCAGACAGAACAGGGCAGCCCACATCGATCACTATTACCACTGAGAGAAAGAACTGTTTCAGTGTTGGTTTGGTTACATCATTTCCTTAACATTATATGCAGCACTTTACATTTCCATCAGTGCTGCACCGAGTAAGAATGCTGTCTGCTTCAGAGTCTGTATAAATACCAGTATCACAGTGCTCGTTTGTAGGTGACATGCTGCAGAGACAGATGTTAATTCCAACCATCTGGATTCCTATAGGCTTGGAATTTGTGTAGTCTGAGTTAGTGAATTTTATCATACTGTGGCTTCTTATTTTTTTAATCGTCGTTTTTCTTTTCTGTGGAAGTTCAGAGGTAAATGTGTTTGACTTTTCAAAACATCTTTCAAAGAGGACTGGGTAACAATGTAGTGTATATTGAAAATTAAGTTGAATTTTTCTGCATGGGAAATTAGTTCTGCTAACAGTTGAGTTCTAGCTGTCTGTCCAGCTCAAAATAGGTTTTTCTTAGCTCTTAATTCTAATTTTGGGGGTAGTGTTTATCTTTGTAAATCTTAGGAAAGACAGTTATGTCATTGACTATGGAATCCGCAGGTGACACTAAATATTGTTTGGATTGGGCCTTTCCTTGCATTTTTATATTTGTTTTTAAAAAATATTTATTTAATTTTTGGCTGCGTCGGGTCTTCGTTGTGGCATGTGGGATCTTTCATTGTGGTGTGTGGGCTCTTTGTTGCGGTGCACGGGCTCCTCTCTAGTTGTGGCCTGGGCTCCAGAGCGCGTGGGCTCTGTAGCTGTGGCACACGGGCTCTCTAGTTGTGGCTCACATGCTCAGTAGTTGCAGCACGTGGGCTTAGTTGCCCCGTGGCATGTGGGATCTTAGTTCCCTGACCAGAGATTGAACCGTGTCCCCTGCATTGGAAGGCAGATTCTTAACCACTGGACCAACCAAGGAAGTCCTGTTTTTTTGTGTTTTTGATGTTAAGTTAGTTGTTTAACGATAGTTTCCAACTGGGAGATGCTTACTCGTGTTTAAATATTTAAAACAACAATCCTGCTTCTCCACTAAAATCAGCTTCTAATAAAATCAAGTGATGGATACAAACTGGGTTAGATAGAGGCTGTCTCTAGTTTTATCAGTCATCTGTGTGACCAAAATGAAGAGTAGTCAAAATAGGCTTTGATTTAAAAGTTTAAATAAGACTTTATATATTTCTAGATCAATTTATTATTGCTAATTATGTGCAAGGATATTACAGCCCAGAAGAACTGGGCTGTAAACACATAACTTCACTTTAAATTGGGACTTGTGTCTATTCAGATTATTTTTTGCTGAAACCTAGATGCATATCAAAAATAGTTGAGGATTGAGGAATCCTCCTGTGATATTGCCCTGAAAATTCTTGGCCGCTTTGATTTTTTTGCTCTATTTTTCCCCATCTGTAAAGGAAGAATCTTCATCTTCGAAGGGAAAAAAAATTCCAGCAGGATTTGAAGTGCAAAATAAGGACTGTTTTTATTCTATGTTGGAATAGCTTGGTCAAGTACAGCTATCCATTCTTTTTCTTTTTTTTTTAACATCTTTATTGGAGTATAATTGCTTTACAGTGTTGTGTTAGTTTCTGCTGTATAAGAAAGTGAATCAGCTATATGCCTACATATATCCCTATATCCCCTCCCCGTTGCATTTGCCTCCCACCCTCCCTATCCCACCCCTCTAGGTGGTCACAAAGCACCGAGCTGATCTCCCTGTGCTATGCAGCTGCTTCCCATTAGCTATCTATTTTACATTTGGTAGTGTGTCTGTGTCAGTGCTACTCTTTCACTTCGTCCCAGCTTACCCTTCCCCCTCTCCGTGTCCTCAAGTCCATTCTTTACATCTGCGTCTTTATTCCTGTCCTGCCCCTAGGTTCTTCAGAACCTTTTTTTTTTTTTTTTTTTAGATTCCATATATATGTGTTAGCATACAGTATTTGTTTTTCTCTTTCTGACTTACTTCACTCTGTATGACAGACTCTAGGTCCATCCACCTCACTACAAATAACTCAGTTTCGTTTCTTTTTATGGCTGAGTAATATTCCATTGTATATATGTGGCACATCTTCTTTATCCATTCATCCGATGATGGACACTTAGGTTGCTTCCATGTCCTGGCTATTGTAAATAGAGCTGCAATGAACATTTTGGTACATGACTCTTTTTGAATTATGGTTTTCTCTGGGTATATGCACATTAGTGGGATTGCTGGGTCATATGGTAGTTCTATTTTTAGTTTTTTAAGGAACCTCCATACTGTTCTCCATAGTCAGCCATCCATTCTTAACCCATTTAGAAAGTGGGAAAAGCAGTTGCTTCTTTTGACATCTCTTTTTGTGTTAATATTGACCTCATTCTTACTTAAATGCAGGTTTCATTTATGACATTAAACCTTGATTTTGTTACTTTTCTTCAAGATTTCCCTTGTAGAAAAACATCCAGCAGTTGCCGTCAACGTTATCTCAAGTGGCTGGTTTTAGAAAAATCTGTAAATTTTTCTGAGGGTTTATTTGTTTTGGCACCAGGCTTTCCTCAATGTAAGCTTAACCAAACATGCATAGCCCTAATATAAATTTGGATGGACATGAGACAATTACACATGCAAATAATATTTTGTTCTGCTCTCACCAGATTTATGTTTAAAAAGTAGACCTTGAGGGGAGATAAACTCCACCTATTTCTGCATTATTCTAAATTAGCATCTGGCTGTGTTAGGTGCGCTTTCTGGGGAAGCTTTACTGAGTCAACTATTGAGAAGATCCTGAGACAGTTGGTACTTGAGCAGAATGCAGACTGAGTGCAGTACAGGGTGCTTTCTGAGCCCTGTTTGTCCAAGAGAACCTCCCAGCAGGACTTCACATGGTACCATTTGTCTCTTTCATGGCTTTGGCACCTCCCATAATTCTCCCTTCCGTTTTGGACTCAGAATGAAAGTCCTAAGCTTGCTGAGCGATGGAAATCAGGGTGAGACCACTGCTAATGACGGGCTGTGTGCACTGTGCTCTTCCTTTATGTCATGGGCTCTCTGCTCAGGAAGTGGTTTACCTTCTTTTATGACCTTGGTCAGTTTTCATCAATGCATGGAAAACCAGACTTAGAGAATAGCCTTTGGTGAAATCTTTTTAGTCTGGAAGGAGCTAAAAATACTCTCTGCTTTTACTTTTTATTGCACCACAGAAAGCACAAAATCAGACTTTTGCCTTAACGTTTTGTTAACAGCCATCTGTTTCTGCAAGACACCTTGAACTCTTTTGTAGATAACCTTTTCTGAAGGGTTTTGGGGGAAGGTTATTTTCTATTTACCTCAGTTCTTAGAAGGAGGAAGGAAATGAGCACGTATCTTATTTTGGCTAATTTCTAAGTAGTGGAGTTAAAAAGGAAGAACTGTCTGCACTTTACTGTACAGGATGGCTGCCTGGTGCTTGACACAAGTGTTTTGAATTTGAACAGGAGTCCTGTAGAAATCTGGGTCTTCCTGGGATGACATGGCTATATGTTCTATCTAAGCTGTAGGTGAGGAGACAAGCCATAAGACAATTTGTTTCCTCCTCTGTAAAAGCAGGGGTGGAACTATTCCCTTCCCACGGAAGTTATAAAGATCGCATGAGATGCAAAAGGATTTTGATAGTTCCTAGAACTTAGTAGGTGGCTAGCATATATTATTTTCCTTTCTTGAAATACAAGAGAATTTAACACACTGGGAGATTCAAAACAATAGATGTGGTAGCAGAATGTATTTTATGTTTTTAGTTTCATGATAGAGAAGAAAAGTTGTTACCATGCAGATATAAAACTGGAGCAAATGTGAAGTGTCCGCTTTTCCAGTACTCACCTTTTAGTGTTTCTTATGAAAAATCAGATGATGACGAAGTATGTCAGATTGGTACATAAGGGAGCAAGATTGCTGTGATATGGAGCATTTTAAAGAGTTTTGTTATTCAAATGAAAACAGCAATTTATGGAAGGTTGTATAGGTATATAAAACAGTGATAAGTATAGAGTGGGAGGAATCATTGCGGCACCTGAAATAAAGCACACCGATACTTTCTCTTTTCCTCCGTGGAAAACAATCACGTTCCAGCAGCAGGTTTTTTCTTACAATACGCATGTGCTTCGTATTTAACATCAGAGAGATTTTAAACTGAAGGATTGTAGGAAAACAAAATACTTAAGATCTGCGCTGAACCTCCTTTCTTTCACTGGTACTGGACAGGCCCATGCTTATTT